CGCGGTTCTTCCGGGAAGGGGAGGGAAGGGGGCGCGGTTCTTCCGGGAAGGGGAGGGATGGGGGCGCGGTTCTTCCGGGAAGGGGAGGGAAGGGGAGGGAAGGGGACGTGGTTCTTCTGGGGAGGCCTCCACTGCAGCACGTCGTGGACCTAACCCGGCTCAGGGGAGCTGCTCTCCCTGGGCTTTAGGGGCAGGAACATTGAAAATGTATTTCATCAGTCAGGGACGGCACCTGGAGGTTGGTGTCTCTGGAGTCCAGGTGGCCAAAGAAGTAAGTGTGGCCATGAGCCAGGCCATCTTGCCCCGGTGGCTGGCTGCCTCACGAAGGTCACCCACAGCAGTAGACATGGGAACATAGCAGGGATGACCAACTGTGTCCACCCTGGCCTCCACACTGGCCCCCTACACTGAGCGTACTTCTGTTAGAAGAGGGCTGGGCCATGGCTCAGTGTAGCCAGATCTTTCTGATGTTGGAACAACAGCGTGATTCATGTCCTGTGGTGTGTGTCACGGGCTTGCACAGTGTTGACACATCTGGGCTTTTCTAGACATCAAAGCAAGAATGTGATTGTGGTCCCAGGCCCAGCCACAGAGGGGTGGTCTAAGCCTTCTGGAACCAAGGATTTCAGTTCATTTTTGACATCTCATGTAAGAATGTTCTCTGCAGATGTGGGAACTTACTATTTTCCTGGGCTTCTGGAGAACGGGCTTCTCCTTCTCAGCCCAGGAGGGGGCACTGCTTGGTGCTTCCACGTGGCCGGTCTCTCCCCCTTGTTGCAGTGTGACTGTGGCCCGAGGGCAGGAAAATCTGAGTGAAGGGACAAGCATTGGCCCTCGAGGGCCTACACACAGGGCAGCAGGTGAAGGGCTTGCCAAAATTCCTTTTGTAGGCACCCGCTGGATCTTTGTGGCCAGGTGATTAAGTTGAACTGTTAAAGCAACTGTAAGGCCAAAATATCGGCTATCTTTTTAGCCCATCTATCTCTAATTTTTGGTCTGCAAACTTTAGTTGTTAAACATCCAGAAGTGAAGATTAATGATACTATTATCCTGTAACAGAGGCAGTTAAGCTTAACATCACTGTCTGTCTGGATATCACATGCCTTCGACATAAAATGGAACTGCTATTTTCCAACAACCATGGATATTCTAACATGTAAATCCCTATGGGATGTTAAAAAACAATTACACTTTTTTTTTCTTTTCAAAGTTTTATTGATAAACATATAGCAATGAGACAGTTTCAAATCAAATCGAAAGTACAGTTTCAACAAATAATACACT